AAACTTTAATATAACAGCAAATGTACAACGTTTCGACAAATATTGTACATTTGCTGTTATATTAAAGTTTTTCTTCATTACCCATTCAAGCCGTCTCCAGCCATTACTACCTTGGATTAATTTGTAACAGCCCTCGTCGCATAGGTAGAAATTTAGAACAATTGTGATAGTTATGGGACATTGTCTGCTTTTTGTCTGTTATTATTCTATGTTCTTTGGTGCATTAATGTATCAAATAAAAAGTATTTAGTACACTACTACCATTAGTATAAAAAATTAAGGTTAAGTGTCGTCGACAGCAAATATAAAGAAGGCCCAGGTAAGTACTTTATTTCTTGTTTTTCATGTGTATTCTTTGTTTGTTATTATAAAAGTAACTAAAATGTAAAAATAGGAAACTCTTTAGGATAGTTAAGATTAGATTAGGTGAATAAATGATAATAATATAATAAAAATTTATCACGAAGAATGCACGCGAGTAGCTTGTAGGTATTGTAATTCGATAGCGTAACGTGAGCCCCACGTTCCACAAGTGATTTAGAACTTATATTATAATGGCACAAATAGTACTAGTAGTTAGACATTGTTCAAATGGCAATTAAATTAATGTATAAATAGATGCATGCTGTTACCAGTTTAAAGATACTTAGGATAAGCAAACATAGTTTCATTTTACAGTTTGAAGTCATTCTAGAAAGAAAAAATGATAACTAGATTTATTTCAATTTTTTGGTGGTTACTAGGTTGGTCAAATTAACCAACACTGTATAGAGTTTGTGTAGAGAAAATAATAACCATAAAATATAAAGTTTTACTGAAAAAATATGCTTGAAATCTATTTAGGAGATTTTAGAGATTATGCAAATGACATTTGAGATTTTTGAGATGAAGAAAAGTATTTTGAATACTAACATGAAAATGATTTGGAACTCGGACTGGTCAAAAAGAGACTCAATATATTCACAAACAAATCTTTGGTAAAATATTTCATTAAAACCTGATTTTGTGTATAAGCGACTTGTAATGTTTACTAAAAGTCTGTCAAATGTTTTGAAGATAGGTATACTGTATTAAAAGCTATAGTATTAAAACTATATACAAGTAAAAATTGTCACGTGTTCCCGAGTTCGTAACAGGCTGAATGCTAAATGTGCAGTGCATGTACTCTAGTCTAGTTGGCTAGGTTGTGGGCACTTTCCAAACGTCATGAACAGACTACTACAAAGTGTATGTGTATGCGCATGACAAAGTGTGAAAATATTGTATGTGCCGTTTGGCAGGAATTTCAGGGAAATGAACATCAACTTTGGTATAGCAAACTGAAACGTTGGTAATTTTCACTGTGTTGTTGAAGGTCTTGAAGACAACATACAAGAGGAAGAAATGATTTGCACGTTATGCCAAACAAAGAGGAAAGTGATTCTCAAATTGCGATGGGAGCCTGAATACCTTGTCCTCTGCACAGATGGAAGGATTGCTGCAATACTAACCAGAGATGAAAGGATTGCTGCAATACTAGCCAGAGATGAAAGGATTGCTGCAATACTAACCAGAGATGAAAGGATTGCTGCAGTACTAGTCAGAGATGAAAGGATTGCTGCAATACTAGCCAGAGATGAAAGGATTGCTGCAATGTCAGTCTATAGAAAACTCGCAGGTGCTGGCCTGGTGAAGTCTACCGGGATACTACAAACAGCCAATGTACCTCAAAGTACTTTCCGAACAACGTATTATGTAGATTTTGCTAGCACTAAACAACTCCACCAGCTCTGATCATACGTCACTTGCCTCTACATTGCACGCGCACACATTTCAGCTGGTGATGACGTGTTATGTTCTTGTGAATCAAGGTTTGATTCCGGAGAAAAAAATCTGCAAAGCAAGCAAATCACTGAAATTTGTTTAAGTTTATTTTTTAGATGTTTTGATTTTGTAGAGACTGGCCACATTTTTGTTTGGTTCGTGTAATATATTAATTTTTATACTTTCTAAACAACTTTATTATCTCCGCCACCAAAGGTTATGTTTTCACCCCTGTGTGTGTTTGTCAGCAAGATTTTTCTAATACGGCTGAATGGATTTGGACGAAAGTTGGTATAAATTTGGATTATGACCCAACTTAAAAGTGATTAGTTTTTGGAGAGTCAAGGTCGCGAAAATCTAAAAAATCCTTATCTATTAACATGGGGCCGATTTTTTCACACTTTAACTCAGTCAAAAATAATCGGATTTTGATGAAACTTGGGGAACATTTGTAGAATATTATTCCTCATTGTCTTGTCAAAAATGGTCCGTGTCTGTTGATAACATTCTCGAATTGTTTCAGAGCCAAATTTAATCAGCGCTGCCTAACGGAAGTATGTGGTCTACTGAGTGTCTTTTTAGTTGAATTCTGTATTTAATTCAATCTTATACTAAAATTATTTTATTGCAGAAGGATAATGAACTATATATAATTTCCATAGTTAAATAAATGCCCGACGGAAAAGGGACACTGTACAATGTTTTTGGCAATGAGTTTGGTAATTCCAAAGATATATATACATATTGTTTCTTTTTCAAACGCAGCACCAGTTCACTCTGGGAACGGCTACCTCTGACAAGTACGTGACGCTATTATGTCTTCCGGTTTATAAGCTGTAGCTTATCGCGTTTTACAATCGATTAACTCGAAGTTGTGTAATAAAGTTACTGTTCCAAAAAATAAACAACGAAGATACATTAAGGATTACTGGTTATAATTTTGAGCCAGCGTATTAGGGGGAAGAAATAACGATGACATTAAGAGTGAGGCCGTATAGTTGAGCGAGTGTTACGTGTGTGGGGAAAACGTACGTCGACTATTGAAGAAATCTTACTATACAGGATCTGATGTAAATATGAAACTTGTGAAATCGAAACTGCATTACAGATCACCCAGATTTCAATGATATCGTATTAAACTCCACTATTCTTCGAGTGGCCTACATAATAATTTATATTTACAGATACAACGTCATCAGATCCAATCACAATACACTTCTTTCCGCTTATCGATTCATTCAAAGTCAACAGATTCCGCCAAATTGTTCCTGAACCGGATAAGACTTACTGACGTCACGGAATATTTGTTTAACTTGTCGATATGTAAACTTTGCACACGGAAATGTCACTGATATGAATTAATACTTTTTTGAAAATGTATGTTTATATAACATTTATTGCAAAATAAGTTCAATCTGATGAATTCATTTAACTTTTTATTAAGTGTTGGATATATAATTATATTTTATTCTTTTATTTCAGGTTCCTCTGTGGATCAGCTGTAGGTTTACGTACTTACAACGCTAAAATACAGGGTTTGATTCTCCGTGGTGTACAAAGGGTAGATAGTCCATGTAGATTTGCGTCAAAAAAACGACACCTTATATTTCAGTTCAGAAATATCTCGTATTTTTAGTTTTTCCCTTTTATTAATTAGTGAACCTGCGTTTAATATAATTTAAATACCGATTTTATACATTTTTGTAGCTTTCTTTTGTAGTTTTAATTTAATTACGATTTTCAACTTTTAATTTAATTTCATCTTACAATTTTTATTCTGAGTTTTACGAATTTTTTAACTGCCTGTTGAAGAAGATGTCACAGTGTCTTACCTGTGACCTAAATTTCCCTCCATTGTCTTCAAGTAGGTGTCATGGTGTCTTACACGTGACCTAAATTTCCCTCCATTGTCTTCAAGTAGGTGTCACGGTGTCTTACATGTGACCCAAATTTCCCTCTGTTGTCTTCAAGTAGGTGTCATGGTGTCTTACACGTGACCTAAATTTCCCTCCATTGTCTTCAAGTAGGTGTCACGGTGTCTTACACGTGACCCAAATTTCCCTCTGTTGTCTTCAAGTAGGTGTCATGGTGTCTTACACGTGACCTAAATTTCCCTCTGTTGTCTTCAAGTAGGTGTCATGGTGTCTTACACGTGACCTAAATTTCCCTCCATTGTCTTCAAGTAGGTGTCA